AGTAAATGGTTTAAAAACTGATCTGATATTAAATAATATTAACCATTCTTATCTTTTAAATGAAACAAATATTATCTCATTATCAAAATTAAAAACAATTGATGAGAAATTAAAAGAAGAGTTTACAACTGAGTGGAAAAATGAAATAAATAATGACAATAGGAAAAAATCAAATTCTAAAAATAAACTAAGAACCTACAAACTTTTTAAAACCAAAATAGAACAAGAAAACTACTTAACAATTATGAAAAACAGTGAACTTCGCAAATCCTTAACAAAATTTAGACTTGGCAACCACTGTCTGAAAATTGAAACAGGCCGGCATACAGGATTGGATTTTAAAGACAGAGTCTTGCAATATGTGCGACAATGACCATGTTGAAGATGAACAACATTTTGTCATAAATTGTCCTCATTACAATGAAATAAGATTAAAACTTTACATTGTAGCTAATAAACGTATACCAAATTTTGACAAATTTAGTAATGAAAATAAATTCATATCATTACTAAGTGACGAGAAAATGTCTATTCCTTTAGCGCAATATTTAAAAAACTGTTTTAATACAAGACAGCAGCACCTACATAAACTAAGCCAGTAATACATTCCTTGTATTCAACTTATTATCTTTTTTTTTTTTTTTTTTTTTTTTTTTTTTATGCCTTTTTGTTCCCTTACTCTTTATGTGGTTATTTTTCTTTTACTAATATCTAATTTGTAACCCTTTTCATCCCCTCCGGGGGATGTTGTGTGTTAATAAATAAATAAATAAACTTGAACCCTAAACCCCGAATAGACAGTTTACTTCGTGATTCAAGATGTAAACTAACCTTTAGTGAGTGAGGTTGTTGAGTTCTAAGGTGTTTCACCAATTTAGGATAGTCACTTGCTGACACTGGGACCAACACCTCTAACCCACCATGCTGTGAAAGAGTTGGAGCAGACATCGGCAGTAATATACAAAGCTCAGCAAGATACACACGTGTTAGCAGTCCGAATTAGCATGTAAGTTTGATGGTACGCCTGTGTGAGCATACAGTTGCTGTTTAAATGTGTGAGCATGCAGTTGCCGGTGTTTAAGCAGCGAATACCAGCGATCATGGGTAATCAACAGACAATTACACGACAAGAGATAGAAATTGCTAACTTTGCTACAAAACTTACACATGCCCATGCGCCGTGACCCTGTTTGCACTGTCAAACGCTTCGTGAATGAACTGATATTGTTGGGATACACCACTTTGTTTAGAGCCAGACATATTTGTAGGTGCAATGACCTAACGAATAAGTGCAACAAACGCAATTCCATTAAAGACAAGATACGAATAAAGCCCAGTTCGGCACGATTTGTATTATTTTCATATTGTAGTATTCCGCTAAAAATGCCCTATATAATGAGAATTAGGCAACCATTAGACACTTCTAGTGACGATCACGTAATGTATGTACAAACTTGTTTTATTCCTGTAATTGATTTTTAGAGAAAACATGCTGTATAGAAATCGACAAGCGAGCATGTTCAAAAAGTGTGGACGAGTGAGGGCGTGGCGGTGTAGTATGCTCTGAGTCTGTATAAAGGGACTCTAGTATGCTCAACCATGGAGGTAAAAATGGCTCAACGAATATGTGAAGAGAAGTGATTCAAAACAACTTTGTATTCTTAACCATATTTTCCCCAGTACGTAGACCAAATAATAAAGGTGTTGTGTTTTCCATACTGGAAATACTCATATCCATGTTTATATATTTACTCGCCGCTGATCATGAACATTTTTATTTGCAGGATAATTTAGGGATGTGTCACAAATTTTGGACATAGCAGAATTAGTTTAATTTCTTGCGTCAAAGAAAGGACGACGAGGTGATATCTGTTATGCAGTATTTCCATTATTTGAGTTTGTCCCATGCTAACGAATCCCTGTATTCGATTAACACTCGTGAATTTTACATAAGCAATTTCTAGACCATGGTTGTCATGGCCACCCAGCAATTTGCTGGGTGGACTCTCCATATAAAATCTACAGGAGAATCATTTATGGGATATCTTCTACTACTACTATGACTTATTCAAAAACAAAGTTGGTGTTCATCCCATAAACCTTCCCTCTTGTGGTTTGTATATGCTATATAGGCTAGACACACTCTCACTGGAGGCGCCGTGGTTGGGAGCTGAGCAGATTTTAAAATCAGGGACTTACAACACCTACAACAACAACCCTATTCGGGTTTTCTGGGTCACAAAACATATAGACAAGACGCAGTTATAGTGATTTCATACATGCAGTCATGGGCTTAAGTCATAATCTATATACATCAGATCGAGATACATGTATCTTTATAGTTTTTGTACAACAATAGACGGTATAGCTCTAACACCTACCTTACATTCCTCTCGTGGAAAAGCAAAGCAGCGTTGTGCACATTATTAGAACAGGTAGACACATTATGGGAGGATGTTTAAACCTCAATATTATAATAATTTTTATTAATTGTATAATGGCCTCCGGCCCATTACAATCATGCAAATTAATTATTGACAAGAAATAAATTTACATTACAAAATATGTATGAAAATATAGATGAAGAGTGTGTCAATACATAATATAAGCCCTATATAATAATGTGATGGGGATATTAATATATATATATACATACAAGCTTATTAGGTTATTCTCATTTGATCTTTGATTAAAAAACACTTATAAATAAATAGAGCCAAAGAGTTAATGATTTGGCTTTTAGAGGAACTTAATAGTTGTACTAGAGTATTCAAATTTGGGGGTTGTGTCTCATTTGGAAGATATTTTTTCCTGATTGTGTCCCATGCAGTGCATTTTAGTAAAAAATGATATTCATCATCAATTTCTTGCAGGCACAAATGACAAATACGGTCCTCCCTAGGGATATTATTATGTCTGCCTCTTTCTATTTCTAAGGGATGGCACGCACATCTTAATCTTGCTATTGCTCTGCGCAATTTTAATTGTGGCAATGACACATAGTTTTCAATCCCAAAATTTGTTTTGTATTGCCTATAATACTGCGTTTTTTCGACAGAACAAACGTCTATATACCAATCTGTAATTCCAGTATCTTTGACCCTTTCACAAACTTTATACAAGAACATATCAGAGTCCCCCACCCCTTGA